TCAATGAAAGTGTGTATCCTTTTTCTAAGCATAAAGACTCCAAGCCTCATGATCCAGATGTTTTTCAACCATATTTTACCAATGTTCCTACTGTCATTCAAAATCAAACTTCACCTTCCAGAAATAACAACTTACCAAACAATACACCACCAAACAATCCTCCTCATAACAGCTCTCCTCAACACTTTCACACTCCCAGTCACCATTTTACTAGTGCATCCACACACAGTCCAAGATACATAGGAAGTCAGTCCACTCATAACACCATTCCTTTAACTGTTGACTTGCATATTGAGCTGAACAACTCTTCAGAAGCATCAAACCAAAGCTCAGAATCATCCATGATGTCAAACAAGCACCACATGATCACAAGAGCTAAAGCTGGAATTTTTAAACCAAGAATCTTTGTTGTAAGTATTGAAGAGAGAGAACCAACATCTCTTGATGAGGCATTACAATCAGCACATTGGAAGAATGCTATGACAGCTGAGTTGCATGCATTGAATGATAATTGTACATGGACCATTGTTGATACACCTGCCAACAAGAATATTGTTGGCTGTAGATGGTTTTTCAAATTGAAGAGGAACTCATATGGGTCCATTTCAAGGTATAAAGAAAGATTAGTGGCTCAGGGATATTCTCAGGTTGCAGGCTTTGATTTCAAGGAAACTTTCAGCCCAGTGGTGAAGCATTCAACCATAAGAATTATTCTTACAGTTGCAGTTCATTTCTCCTGGCTTGTAAGACAATTGGACATTAACAATGCATTCTTGAATGGTGGGCTCTCTGAGGAGTTATATATGATTCAACCACCAGGATTTGAAAGTAAGACATCAAGTAATAAAGTGTGCAAGTTGAAGAAAGCTATTTATGGCTTGAAACAGGCCTCAAGGGCCTGGTTCTTGAAAGTATAGAATACCCTCAGCAAGATGGGTTTCCAGTGTTGCCAATCAGATAATTCCTTGTTTTATAAAGGGTCCTCAAGCTCAATTATTATGATTCTGATTTATGTTGATGATATCCTTATAACAGGAAGCAACAACACTGAAGTTGAGAAGGTCATTTCTCAGTTAAGCTCCAATTTTTCCTTGAAAGACTTAGGAGAAATCCCCATTTCTTGGGTATGAAGGTGCACAGATCAGATAAAGGCATTTTTCTATCTCAGAAGAGGTATGCTGAGGATCTCTTATACAGAGCTTCTATGTATAATACAAAGGGATGCAGAAGTCCTATGTCTACAAGTTGTTACCTCAAGAAAAATCAGGCCAAAGAAAGTGTTAAGGGAACTTTGTATAGAAGTATTGTTGGTGGACTGCAATACCTTACTATCACTAGGCCAGAGATTGCTTTTGCTGTTAACAAGGTTAGTCAATATATGTCAAATCCAAATGATGAACATTGGAAGGCCATTAAAAGGGGTAAATTGCTCCAAACCCCCCTGTATTATACGAAATCTGCGCCTTATCCCCCTGTATTTTAAAAAATGCGCCATACCCCCTTGTATTATACTTTTGATTGCGCGTTATCCTCTAAACCGTCTAACTTGACGGATGTGAATTTCACGCGCGTGTGGTGTGACTTTTTCTCTATTTTTTCGCCATAAACCCAGGGAAATGACTATTTTGCCCCTTAATACCTGAATTAAATTTCACTCTGTTGTTATGTGTTTGTTAACAACGATGTAACTTGTGATTAAGTGGATAATTTTGAATGATTTGGACGTAAAGCATGTAAGATTTACTCAACAATGGCCCCGGTCCGAGGTGAACCGAGGTGAAGAGCCGTGATGGGCTTTTACGTGTTGCTTAATCAAGTTTTTTCAGTTCGGAGAGAGATCCCCGTACAAAGGTCAAGGGCCCGCTATTTATAGTAATTTCGGGTTGATACATTGGGATCTGTGCATTACTTTTTCGAATAAAGTTTACTTTTTGTGGGCGGTTTGAGGCAGGGGGTCCCACATAAATGATGACGGATCTTGTGGAGCAGGAGGGTTGTTCGTAGGCACCTTGTCACCTGCTTAAGGAGGTGACAACCTCGGTTCCATGTTGACCTCGGTAGACGTTGACCTCGGTAGTCGTTGACCACTTCGGTCTTCGGTAGTTCGGTCTGGTTTGTTGCCTGAACCGGGGTGGTATTTGAAATTACGTCGGTTCAATGACTATCTGCCTTTTAATGCGTCATTTGGAATCTCTTGATGCAGGTTTACCGATCCGGATGATAACACACTCCTCTTTCTTGGGCTGAGGGTTCTTCAGTCCATTTTACAATTACAGATTTTAACTCTGGGTCAAATTGCAATTAATTTAAACTTCTGAAAATTACAAAGTAGCCCCTCACTTTAATCAAATTTTCAAATCAAGGTTCTGCAACACCAAATTCAAAACCCTATTTCACGCAGCTTTCTCGCCCATCGCAGGTAGCCGTCGTGTTCGACCTCCGGCAAGCCATCGCCGCCCCAGGCCGGCATATTCTCGCCGGAGTTGTCGCCTACGGTCAAAGCTACGATTTTTTATTTTTTTTTTTATTTTTTTTATATGTTAATGGCGGACCTTCGAGCTCCAAGCTCGGATTTCACGCCGAGCGCGACAGTGGCGAAAGGTCTGATGGACGACGATCTGTACGGGATTCCAAATCCCAGAATTCATTTTTTTTTTAGTGTGTCCGCTATTAATGGCGGACGAGCTCGAAGCTTGGGTTTCGACGATTGGCCGCGGTGGGGGCCGCCCAGTGGCAGCGTAGAGTTACAGAGTGCTCCCAGATTGGGAATCAAATTCCTAGATTTTGTATATGCGTAGAGTTACAGAGTGCTCCCAGATTGCAGAATTTATGAACACGAACAAATCCAAGATTTGGTTGTTGGAACATAAATGCAGCAACAAAATATTTTAATAAAAATTAATTCTAAATTAATCACGGTAAACAGGATTAACACATATTTTGATCCATTTAAATCCACTTTATTTACTGTAATTGTTTGTTTCTGAGGGCATAACGGGAAGTTAAGCAAAAAATTAACGGGGTTAACACGGAAACGAGGAGAGGGGAGCGTGCGCAATCAAAAGTATAATACAAGGGGGTATGACGCATTTTTTAAAATACAGGGGGATAAGGCGCAGATTTCGTATAATACAGGGGGGTTTGGCGCAATTTACCCCCATTAAAAGGATACTCAAGTATGTGGCTGGCAGTGTTAACTGTGGATTAGAAATAATGAAAACTAATAACTTGAACATAGTTGGCTTTTGTGACTCAGATTGGGCAGCAGATTTAGATGATAGAAGGTCTGGGTTTTGTGTTTATGTTGGAGAAAACCTTGTGTCTTGGAGTTCAAGAAAGCAAGCTTCAGTGTCCAGATCAAGTGCTGAAGCTGAATATAAGAGTTTGGCTCATGTGACATCAGAAATTATTTGGACTAAGAGTTTGTTTGAGGAGCTTCAGCTTACAAATCAACAGAGACCAATCATTTGGATTGACAATCTGAGTGTAATAGCAATTGCTTCAAATCCTGTGATGCATGGGAGGACCAAACACATAGAACTTGATTACCATTTTGTTAGAGAAAAGGTTGCAGCAAAAGCTCTTGAGTTGAGGCATGTTCCCAGCCAGTTCCAAATTGTTGATATCATGACAAAGGCCTTGAATGATCAATCCTTCACCAAGTTGAGAGCTAAGCTTCATGTTGTAGATCAACCGGGTTCGGATTACGGGGGAGTGTTAGAAATTAATCAAGGCCATAAGCAGGGGCGGAGCCAGGATCCAAAATATACCTGGGCTAAAGTTATTTTAATGAAAATTCTCATTTCAACAAAATCAAAAGTGCATGTATGGGCCATTCTAATAGCTACGGGTCGACTCTTATACCTTTTTTTTCACAAAAATTCAATTTATGCAATGAAATGTCAGTACTTTTATTTATGTTGTTTTTAAGTGTGTGATTGTGATGTCAAAAACATGTCAATTATTTAAAAAAATATAATTGTTAAACTCTTATATCTGCCTAACAATAGCAAGGTACTGATAAATTTTAAGTATGACAAACTTTAAAACTAAATTAATACTAAATAAACACACACAAAAAGAAGTAAATTACTATTAAGTGATAAATTATAATTACGTATGACCGACTTTAAATATTAAATTAATCCTAAATCAACATTAAATAAAAAATAAGTTATTACTAAGTAAATTGCGAATATTTAGTATTGATTAGTTAGCAAAGTATATAAATTGGAAGGTATAATTAGTAAACATTTATTGTATAATCAATATATAAAACAACATTTAAGCATGAATAAAATGTAGAGTTAAGATACTAAATATTGCATAAACTAACTTGTAAAATTTGAAGATAAATACAAAATATAAAATAATGGCTAAAATATATGATGTTTACGAAGACTTAAATACTTATTATATTTATCACTAAATAAATACTCGTTAATTGTTAACTTACCAAGTTTTTATATCCAGCCCCCTAATGACGCTTTGCTAACAAGTTTACAATCTACCAAATACGTAAATATGAAAAGCTAATTAACCAAATTTAAAGCCGAACAAATCAAGTCACTTTAGTGGGCTAAATTAACAAAAACGA